TTAAAGTTGCCAAGTTTGGAGACCTCTGATTTAAACTCAGAATTTCATTTGTATCTCTTTTGAGCAGAAAGCCCAGAAGTGGTTTCCAAGTGGCCTGATTATACAGTTTTGAGAAGGGAAAAAGAGCTTCTATTTGCATCAAATAAACTGAGTTTCTTCAGCATTGGTCTTGCTTCACACATATAACCCTCATCGAGCAACCCTCCTCTAAGGGCCCCAAACGATTTTTGGTTAATGCTTCAACAGAAAGAAAAGGCACCTGTGGGACATCCGAGCCGAGAGAAAGCACTTATCCGCTTCCATTCAGGAGCGCAAATGTATTCCGGCCGCAAAATCTTCTGATAAAGCTGGCGACGTCCGACTTTATAGGTAGTTCTGCAAAACCACAGAGCCCAAAATGTGAACTTGTTGGATATTTTGAGGAGAAAATCAGATTGGAAAGGGCCAGCTTCCTTATACGTGTAAGTATGTATAAATACTTATTTATACATACATTGTATAGGCTGCCTGATTTCCAGCATCTTTGGGAAGTTTGCAATTAACAATAACATTAGAATTAGAGTAGAATAGAGCTGGAAGCAGAGGTGGCATTCAGCTGGTTCTGACCAGTTCTGGAGAACCGGTAGCAGAAATTTTGATTCGTTTGGAGAATCAGCCTGTGACTGCCCACCCCCAACCCCATCTCTTCTCTGCCTCCCCTTGAGTACCAGGTGATCGGCTGGGTCTCCTTTGGTTGCCCTGCACAGGAGAACGGAGCTGGAAAGCAGGTTAGTGGAGTGGGGAGGGAAGGGGGATTTTGCAGTAACCTTCCCCTTCCCACATCCACCAAGCCATGTCCACAGAACCGGTAGTAAAAATAATTTGAATCCCACCACTGGCTGGAAGGGACCTTGAAGGTCTTCTAGTCCAGCCCCCTGCTTAAGCAGGAGATCCTATACCATTTCAGGCAAGTGGCTGTCCAGTCTCTTTTTAAAAACCTCAGCCACAACTTCTGAAGGCAAAGCTGTTCCACTGGTTAATTGTCCTCACTGTGAGGAAATTCCTCCTTCATTCTAGGTTGCTTCTCTCCTTGATTAATTTCCATCCATTGTTTGTTGTCCTGCCTACGGGGGCTTTGGTAAATAATTTGACCCCGTCCTCTTTTTGGCAGCCTCTCAAATACTGGAATACCACTCTCCTATCCCCTCTAGTCTTTCTTTTCTCTAGACTGGCCAAACCCAAATCCTGCGGCCGTTCTTCTTCGTATGTTTTAGTTTCCAGGCCTTTGATCATCTTAGTTGTGCTTCAAAGCAACACGCAAAGAAGGGATCCTTAACGATGCTAAAAACAACGTACAAGGGGGGGAAAAGCCCCCACTCTCAGCCCAGGGTTGTTCTTGTAGGGAAAATAAGAAGGGATCCAGATTCTCCTCAGCTTATGACCACTATTGAACTGAAACTTTCCGTTGCTAAGCAAGACGGTGCTTAAGCGAGTTTTGCCCCGTTTTATGACACAACTTGCCACAGTTGTGTTAGTAGCATGGTCGTTACTAGTTGGGAGTTGAAGTCTACGCATCTTAAAGCTGACAAGGTGGAGAAACCCTGAACTAGACGGTGTGAAATCCTGCTCTCTTGAGAGGGAAACAGCTACAGAGAAGGAAGTGTTCTTGGATGGACCCAAAGGATGCCCCCTATCTGCCCCACTGCCTTTCGGTCAGGGAATAAATCCAGATGAAAAGGAGAGTGCAAGAGCAGGTGCATTGCCTTTCTACCTTGACCCTCCCACACCTTGTGGCAGGGAGTTCCAGAGGTTAATTAGATGCCATAGAAGGCTACGGCAACTTCCTTCTAACAACCTGCCGTGGATTGTTGGCCGTGGTGGGGATTCAGCAGGTTCGCACTGGTTCAGGAGAACCGGTGGCTAACTTTTGGTGTAGTTTTGATAAACTGGCTGAATAGCGAGTCTCGCTATGCCTGGCCCTGCCTTTTCCCTCCCCTCCCAGCCCCTCCTCGCCTTGCTACCAAGCCACTTGCCCGGCCACCCAAGGTTACAAGGAGTGGCTGGGAGGGGAGGGGTGAAGCAGGGCCGGGCGGGGCAAGGAGAGGCTGTGCAAGGTGAGGCACCCCTCGATGGGAGTGATTTTGAGTCATGCCCACCTAGTTTGTCAACTACTAAAACATTCCTATGCCTGTTTTGGTAGTTGCCATAAAAAGGGGGGAGGGGGAGGAAGCAAATCTGGAAGAACAGTGCAGCAGTTGGAAAGCAAAAGTACATTCCAACTCTTATCTTTGAAAGATTGTAACTAAAATACCAGAACTTTTGCCCGCAAATATATTGAATTGGAGAACGTGATTGATGACACCCAGCCTGTCAATTGGAAAATCTGATTTATGACACACCCAGGGGGGAAACAGGGTCACAGTGGACTGAAAATTATGTAGGCCAGAGTTGGCTTCATCCAGGGCAATGCCAATATGTCGCCTCCAATAAATCCTTGGAAGTTTTTTTGAAGTTTGGCTCGAGAATCATGATTTAATTAGGGCGATTGCTGGAATCCTGACACCAGGCACATGACTATCCAGCTACACCCATCCAGCCAGTCATTAGGGCAGAGAACCGATGGTTAAATTGTTTGAATCCCATGACTGGTTGTAGGTAGAACTTGCCAAGGCCTTCAATGGCATGCCATGAACCTCTGGAACTCCCTGCTACAGGGTGTGGGAGGGTCAAGATAGAAGCCCAGTAGATCCCCTGGTTTCTCTTCGCTCTCTTGCCTGTATGTACTGCAGAGCCTGTTTCCCGGGCACAGGGTGAGGTAGGGCTGGTGGACCGGCTGGACATGGGAGGCGAGGTAGGATACGGTGTGGCTTCTCATCTCCATGGAGCATCCACCACACCTGTGAGGGAGAAGCACAAAAGGACAATGCAAAGTCAGGTACATTTTAAAAAAAAGTTTTTATTAATTTTCTATTGTTTATACTTCGTTAGTGCTTAATAAACATTGTGTTGTCTGGGTTATTTTATTTACTTAGCAGTAGAGATTACATTCTTATTGATCCATCCCTTTTTTTCCAACCTCTGATAAAATAAAGTCCATGTCTGATAATATTCTGTCTCTTCTTTCTGTTTAATCTTCAGCGGAAGTCTGTGCATTTCTGCACAATCCAGGGTCTTCCTAATTATCTCTTTGTCTCGCGGAGTTTCTTCCTTTTCCCCATATTGTGCAAATATAATCCTCGCTGCTGTTAATACATGCAATGTTAAATATATATTTTGTTTTATCAAATTTTTCTGGTGTTATACCCAATAGAAAAAGTTCAGGTTTAAAATCTACATGTTTTCCTATCATCTTTTCTAGCCACTTATGTATTTTTGCCCAAAATTGTTTGGCAAGGCTCTTAGAGAGAGAGAGAGAGAGAGAGAGAGAGAGAGAGAGAGAGAGAGAGAGAATAGATGATACATATATATAAATAGATAGAGTTAGATAGATAATAAGATTATGTGTGTGTGTACAGAGAGAGAGAGAGAAATAGATAGATAGACAAACACAGACAGATAGCAAGCAATAGCACTTAGAAATCTTAAGACTTATATACCGCTTCACAGTGCTTTCCAGCCCTCTCTAAGAGGTTTACACAGTCAGCCTCTTGCCCCAACGATCTGGGTCCTCATTTTACCGACCTCAGAAGGACGGGAGGCTGAGTCAACCTTGAGCCTGGTGGGATTCGAACTGCCAAATTGTAGGCAGCTGGCAGTCAGCAGAAGGAGCCTGCAGCACTGCAATCTAACCACCGTGGCTCAGAGCAGCAGAAGAGGTGCCCCTTGCTCTCACCCATCTCCTGGGGTGGGTAGGGGCCCTCTTTGGACCACCCAAGCTTGCCCCCAGTTAGTTTTGCAGAAAACCTTGCAAGCCTCTGCTGCAATTCAGCCAGCAGTGCCTCTTCACTAGATGAAGGCAAGGACTTACCTGGAGCTCGAGAAACTCTCAACCCTGGTGGCTGCCAGGACCATGGCAAGCCCCATGGTCCACAGCCAGCCCCCTCTTCTCATCCTTTCTCCTTTGCTGGGCCCTTTTTACTACTGCAACATCATCGCCTGAAGGAGCGACAGCAACCGAGGACGGTTCAGCAAGCTACACTAAAAGCAGAAAGAACAAAACAAATTGAATGGGAAAAAAAGGAGCTTTAACAAGTTTCATCAAATTATCATCACAAAGAATTTTTTTTTTTTTTTAAAAAGCAGCAATTAATCATGCTGTTTTGGGGTTGTTGTTTTTTTGGAAACTAGCAGCCCAATTTCTCTTAATTTTTAACTTTAAACGTATCGCACTTTGCAAATATTTACAATTTGGAGAGAACGTGAAGGGGTTGTGTAATTCCCAGGCATTTACATGTGAGTAATCTTTGCCAAAATGCACTTTTAATTTTGCACAATGATTTTTTTTCCTCGCCTGGTTTGAAATTCTTGAGTGCAAAAGGAGCCAAAAAGAAGAAGAATGATTATTTAATGTAGAAAGATGGTAACTCGGAATGTTTACTAGCAACAACATTTACCACAGATTGCCGATACAAAGAGTGTCTCGGTGTGAATCCTAAGATTTGGGCTCCTGACTGCTATGTACAGGATCTCAATGCCATCCCAGGAAATAATGTACTTAAAAGGTTTAAGCAAAGGTGAGCAAAGACAGACATCGTTCTGCAGAAATCCAGACCTCGGCCCACTCCGGCAACGACTTCTGTTTTCATGGCAATTCTCACAACCCTTTTGGCCCCCTTCCTGATGAAAACTGAAGGCAAGAATGGAAACGGTTTTGAACTGCCAGCACCGAACCCCAACTATTTGCAAACCCATTCTCAAGTAACAGCCACATATTTAAACCCTGAATCAATACATTCTAACAAGGGGCTTATTACACACACACACACACACACACACACACACACACAGAGAGAGAGAGAGAGAGAGAGAAAGAGAGAGAGACCAGTCTTTTTATGAAACAATGCCATTCCAAACATCTGCAAGCGATTAGGAATTGTAGCTAACAATAGCGAAGCAAAAGATAAGCAAGTATTTGGAACTTTTCTTTTTTGGGGTTTTGCTTGGAATCCTCAGCAATAATTCAACTCACTACACATATTATTTAAAAATTAGACAAAACGCAGGCCCCAGGAGCCCCAAAGAGGAGGGGGAAAAAGAACCTTTTAAGAATGAGATCCCACACAATTTGGCCACTGATGCCAAATGAAACCATAAAGAAAAGGGAATTTTTGCACCCAGAAACCTCTCCTCAGGTTCATGAGTCCTGCTGCTCTCTGCTGGTCTCTTTAAAAGTAAAGTCCACCCAGATCAACCAGCTGGCTTTTAACAGATTAACAGAGTTGGAAGGGGCCTTGCAGGTCATCTAGTCTGACCCCCCGCTCCCCGCCCAAGCAGGGAGACTCTACACCATTTCTGACAAATGGCTTCTAATGCTTCAGCCCAAGGCAGAATCCTACCTGTCTACCCTTGGCAAATGCTTCAACACTGGAAGCTTTTAAGAAGAGATTGGTCAACCATTTGTCTGAAATGGTGTTAGGGTTTCCTGCCTAGGCAGGGGGTTGGACTAGAAGACCTCCAAGGTCCCTTCCAACGCTGTTATTCTGTTATCCCCATCTGCCACCAGGCTCTTTGCAAACTGCCTTGTGTCAACCCTTTTCACATGTTGCAAACAGCCCCGTCCTCAGACACCAAAGCAATTCCTTGACCAGTGTCATGCCCTTCGGAGTCCGGAGTCCGAGGAGGAAGACGAACAGCTGACAGGGAATGGGAGTGTGGCTCCGTTGGCTGTGGAGGAGGCTGGGGAAGGGCAAAGTCTGGGTGGGCAGAGCAAGGGGAGAGATAGAACAAGGGAGAGGGAGTTCAGAGGAAGACCCAGGCCCACCCCATCTTCATCCTAGGGCACACAGGGAGGAACGGAGAAGAGAGCAACGTGGGTTGCGTGGCTTATGGGGGAGGAAAGGGCCCTGATTCCCTTCATTAGGCACACCTAAATATTTACAGACCCCACACATCCCGGACATAAACTGTTTCAACTCCTACCCTCAAAACAATGCTATAGAGCACTGCACACTAGAACAACTAGACACAAGGACAGTTTTTTTCCCAAACGCCATCACTCTGTTAAACAAATAATTCCCTCAATACTAACTATTTACTAGGTCTGCACTACTATTACTATTAATCTTCTCATCACTCCTTAGCACCCATCCCCTCTCACTTGTGACTGTATGACTGTAACTTCGTTGCTTGTATCCTTACGATCAAAATTGACTGTTTCCTAGTATGATTTGATTGCTAATTGTGCCCTATGACTATTAAATGTTGTACCTGATGATTCTTGACGAATGTATCTTTTCTCTTATGTATACAGAGAGCATTTGCACCAAGACAAATTCCTTGTGTGTCCAATCACACTTGGCCAATAAAGAATTCTATTCTATTCTATTCTATTCTATTCTATTCTATTCTATTCTATTCTATTCTATTCTATTCTATTCTATTCTATTCTATTCTATTCTATTCTACTCTACTCTACTCTACTCTACTCTACTCTACTCTAACTGGGAAGAGAGTTTAAAAGAGATGCATGCTGAGTGTGATGTCTGCTGGGAACAAACGTAAGTTTATCTTGTGTTGACTTTGCTTATCTGTGTTCCTGGCGTCTTCCCAGCCATGTTGAGTTATTGCTGTTCCTTCATATCAGGAATTCTTGCTCCTGCCCTGCCAAACTAATTACCTCATCTTGCCTTGATTGGAGTTATAGTTACAGTTTTTGTTGACCACGTTTTGGATTTGATTCTCTGCAGCCAAAGGCTGTTCCTGGGAGAGTTTTCTCCAGCCCAGAAGGTAACCAGGACCTTGGGGGCAAAGTCGGAGCTAATAAAGGGACTCCTACTGATTATCTGACTGTCTTGCCTTTGTGCCATGCCCTTTTGGGTCATCACAGTCAGGCTGAGCAGCAGTGCCTAAGGGGCAAAGCAGACCGATGGGGCTATAATCCAGAAGGAGACTCTGCAACCTAAGGCCAGAGGGAAGACAACTTGCCGGCCATCCAATGTCCCCAGAATCTGCAAGCCTCAGAAGTAAAAACTGAAGAAGTTTCTTTAGTAAGGAAGGCCCGTCACCAGCGCCTGAAATGCCAGCAAAATGAGGCCAGTTTGGAGCACGAGGCATCCCTTGAACTCTTGTTGACAAATATGAGATGCTTTCAAGCAGAATTTTTAAAAAAGGTAGCAGCTTCCTTGTGAGCTTCGCAACCAACTAAAGCAGGGGTCCCAAAACTTGGCAACTTTAAGACTTGTGGACTTCAACTCCTAGAATTCTAGGGAACTGAAGTCCACAAAGTTGCCAAGTTTGGAGACCTCTGAACGAAAGCATCAGAGCTGAAGCTTCAGGAGTCCTCCATCTCCCTACAGCTTTCTAACCCGGGGACAGAATTAAGAGAAATTCAGGATCAATTTCTAACACCATCTCCAAGCAAGGACACAGGCCTCTGCCGAGTTTTGCACACCACGCACCAATTTTTCCTTTTAAGAGGGTTGCACAAACTCAAACCATGATGGGGATTGTGAGGGCTGTTGGCACGAACCCAGCCTACCCCCCCTCCACCTGTTCAACAAAGTCAAATCCTATTCGAGTTATTTCATTTTTTTACTGCGGATGTTTTGAGCGCAAGTTCTCCTAGGCTGAGAACCTTTTCGATCGCGGCGGCCTGGAAATACGCTTAATAAATAAATCTGGCCAAGTTCACCCACTGAACCATGGCAACGTTTGCTGGGAGTGCTAAGTTTGTTGAACACACCAGAATGGCTTCTATGATCGTACTTTTCAGAGTTTCCCAAGATTCTTGAGTTGTTTTCCCCTTTAGGATTTCCATCCGTGGAATTTTTCCCAAGTTCTCTCTGAGTTTATTAAAATCGGCTCTTTTAAAATCTAAGACTCTGTCATTATGTCCCATTGCTTGTGTTTGCTTTGTTATGTTGAATTCTTTCAAGAAGAGACTGGACTGCCACCTGCCAGAAGTGGTGTAGGGTCCCCTGCTTGGGCAGGGGGTTGGACTAGATGACCTACAAGGTCCCTTCCAACTCTGATTATCTGTTATCCAGCTAGGATCAGAAACCACGATTAACAGGCTGCAGAGAATGGATTCATCCAAAATGCATATGCCAGAATCGCTTTACCTGCACACAAACAAACCTGAAAAATATGGAAGTATGAAACACATATATAGAGGTAGTTCATTTAGTGATCGAAGTAACGTCACTGAAAAAAGGGACTTATGACCGTTTTTTCACACTTACAACCACTGCAAGCAATCCCTACAGTCATGTGATCAAAATTTGGATGCTTTGGCAACTGGTTCATATTTTTTAATACAATTTTATTTCAGTTTTCCACATTTTAAAAACATCTCTTTTTAGTGAACAGCATGATTCCAGGTTTTCACATTTCCATACAACTATGACTACAATTACATGCTCATCTTTCACATTTAGTTTCATATCTTACCAATACTTTACATACTTTCTATTTTTCCCCCCAAATACTTTTCTCCAGCTTAAATCTTAAATAACTTGCATACCTTCGTATTCGTTATCCTTTTATACTTTTATCTGTCAGGTTTGCAATTTCATCGCATATTCTTATTTCATCATTTCACAAATTCTAATTCAATTCAGACATTTCAAAGAGATTTCCCTCCACAATTACTAATTTGAGTGTGCCATCCCTATAGCTTATATATTCTTTAATTACCTCCCCTTTAAATCCCAATATTCATTTAACTTTTCATTATTGCCTAAAAGATTAATAATAATAATCTCCTAACAACTACATAACATATATCCTTTTAGGTCAGATTCTGCATAGTACTTCCCCTTCAATTACATAAAAATCATTTATAATTTCAAAAAGAACAATTAATCAATTCAGTTTGTCATAAACACTGATATTAATCTCGTTACAACTGGTTCATATTTATGACAATTGCAATGTCCTGGAGTCACATGGTCATCTTTTGGGACCTTCCAACAAGTAAGGGGAAGCCAGATTTAGTTAACAAAGTACAGCAAGAAAAGTCATAAAATGGACGAGATAGGGACCTATTATCATATGTGGTGGAAATGTATAAAAGCAAAAAAATTACTGGTGGAAAATAAAGGTTTGGATAGAAGAGATAATTAACCAGAAAGTGGAGCTCAGACCAGAAACGTTCTTACTGGGAATTATTAATGAGAAATACAGTAAAGGAACAATATATTTAATGATACGTATAATAACAGCTGCAAGATTGATGTATGCCCAAAACTGGAAGAATGAAGATACTCCTACAGAAAGTGAAATAATAAGGAAAATATTAGTCTGTGCAGAGATGGACAGACTAAATTTAGAAATCAAAGATAAGGGTGAGACA